GAAATGCTGCAGACAATAGCAGAAGCTGCACAGTTCATAAACTCTCAACTTCAAGCCACACCCATTGGTGGAATCTGGTGCCAGTAAGCAGACAGTGCTCTTAGCACCTCGACTCACCGGGGACAGAAAGAGAAAAGTTGTCTGTAAGTTCAGCTCCAAATATGATGCACATGAAAGTGGGACACTCACTTTTAGGAGCCAGGGACAACACAGTGAAGCCCTTTGTTTCATGCACCCTGAGCACAACAGCTACCTAGATCTCCAATACAATCAGTACTTTCAGACGGAACCATAGAGCAAAGTAGTGGACCAGGACCATCTGTCTGGAAACCTTAACCAATAGTTAACAAATGACCCTTGGAGGTCAGTGGAATCCCACTCCAGCAGATCACACATCTGGAGAATTCAAAGTTAAGAAAAGAAAGCACGATCAGGAAATCTTAAATCTTCTCTATGAATTACATTTACAAATGAAATCTTAGTGTTTAGTCTGGTAAATGGAAAAGAGAGCCTGACAAAGCAGGAAGAAATGTTCAACATGTAACACAGAATAACAATGAAAAGTCTTATGATGAATAAAGAAAGGGTATCATGACAGCTACAGACATACTCAAGTGGTTCTCTTCCTTCACCCTGGCCCATTTCCCCCTAACTGATGTTGTTCGAAGAATTTCCAGAAATCTCTCAGTCTCCTTCCTCCCTTCATTGTGTTTTGAAACCAAGTCCAGTAGACACATGTCCGCCTCTCTCTACCTCCTCCTAATGATGCAACCTGTTCAGGAACTCGCTGCTAGAGTTCATAGAGGCTTTCCTAGTTTCATGCTCGGCTACCTATTGGCCATGCTAATGTCCTTCTGTGGCACCTTGAACTGAGTCGTTGCTTCATTCTTCTGGTCAGTTAGAAGATGAAGTAAAATGCTTCCTCTACAAACAAATAGCTTACAAGTGGCCTCTCATGCCCTCTAATTTGACTGTTTTTAGTACAGCACTCACTCACTTTATTACCGGGTACACCCCAAAACCAAGAATCAGTGTTCAGTTCTTCTCTTTGAAAACAGGTCAAAGCCAAGGCTATCCAAGAGACTCACAAAAACATACAGCATATTGTTGTTGCCCTTGGTTACCCTCCCTGTTCCTGAGGACACCATGAACTTCAGAAACAGAGCCCAGGAAAATCTGAGCTAGTTAGTCCTGATTTGAGTGCCTTCTTCCTGAAGACTAGCTTTCATGGTACCCATAGTATCTATGCAAGCTTCTGAAAAGGAGGAAAAAATCAACAGTACTAGAGGGTAATGATGCCTATGAACCACAACACCACATCCACCAGCATAGCATGATATCTCTAAGGGTTCAGTAGTGGCACACATATGTTGTCAGTAATCAATAGCTCTCGAACAGGAGTTACGACCCATGCAACAAGAAGGAAACCATGCCTGCTGCTAGAAACCCACCTGACTCTCAGTGTTAGTGAAATCATGGGTATTGGAGGAGAATTTACATACTACTAATTTACTAAAACAACAATCTATAAACATTGGTCCTTACACCCACAGATAAGTGCAGTAACTTTCACCTTTCATCAAGGAAATTTCTCTTTGCAACAGACGGAGATCATTACAGAAAAGCACCATCAATCAAAATGCAAAGTTGTAGAGTCCAGTGCCAATAGATAAATCTACAAAACACTCCTATACCTAAGACTTAGGGAACATGGTAGAAGAGGAGTCAGAAAGATTGTAAGAGCCAGAGGATCAGGGAGTTCTCTACGAGGTGTTGTCTCCAAGTAATTTCAGAAGCTACATCCATAGTCTCACCAATACGACCACACCCAAACATTAATAATGAGGAAGGGATCTCTGTGATTAAGTCAAGTTTATTAAACAGGTGCAAAATATAAAGTACACTCACAATACAGAAGATCCTCTGGTTCTCAAGAGTGATTGGGCAGGTCCAGGGAAGGTCACCAGGCTGCCACTGCCAGCAAGCCTTCCACAGTCCAAGAGAGAACACACCCCACCTTCCATTCTTATCCAGTCACACATACCCAGAAAAGACCATGCCCATTGGGCCAAGCCATCCCAACACAATTGGCTGTCAGAACTTCCTTCCCAGGGGTGGCATTGCCCAAGGGGGCTAGGTGCTCTGAAATCAATCGCTAATCAAGAAAATGACCCCACAGTCTTGCCTACAGGCCAATCTGATAGAGGCAATTCCTCATATTTGTTTAGGTTCCTGTCAAGTTAACAAAAAGTAACAAGCCTAAGTGAAGCTGGTACCAGGAGTAGGGTGTTGCTGTGACAGACCTAACCACAATGCTTTGGGAAGGACTGAGAAAGGACTTGAGAACTTTGGGCTGAGAAGCCATTGGGTGCTCAAAGCTTGGTAAGCTATTGTGGGAACTTGCAAGAGAGTGCTAGTGCTGAGAACAATGCAGATAAGGGAACCGTGGTTTGTGAAGTTTCAGAGGGAAGCAAAGACTCTCTAGGGGCTGTTCTCGTGATGTTTTGAATTACCAATATGTAGTTTCTGATCAGGTAGGACTGAAGAATCAGTTTGAGTAACAACAGAGTAGAACCACGAAAGTGAATCTTTGGCTTTTCTAGTTGGCTGGGCTAATGGCTGTAAAAATCACTGTGGTTAAGAAGAGACCAGCATCATTGAGGTTAAATCTTCTGGGAAGTATTTCGAGGTCAGCATATAGAGCTAGGAGCCAAGGCTGCTTCTCACGCTGGTAGCCAGATTTGGTAATGTGTAATAATCAACCAGGCTGAACTAGTCTTGAAAGAGTGATGGGATCGTGGAGAGCAGATAAGATTTGGTACTTTGAGAGATCAGGAGGGTCATTGGTAAACATGTGAACTCTAGAGACTCCAACATACTGGAGAAGTCAGTGGGATGACCACTTAGGACAGCAGCTGCTGTGGAGGGGAGCCAATCTAAGCCTATGAGACAGGCTATGTGTGCTGTGAATGGCAGAGCCTTGAGAGGGAGAGATATACAAGTCTTTTGGAACCCAGATATGAGTAAATCCCAGATGCAGTACATTGAACTCCAGGATTGAATTTACAATGTTGGAGTTTGGTTTTGCTTTGTTTAGACTGTGATTGTGCCATGATTCTTGCCTCTTGAAATAATGTGTAACTTATTTTTTATTATGCAGGGTCTTTGGAAAGACTTTGGACTTTAAAATAATGTTGAATATTTTAAAGTGACATTGAACTTTTAAGTGATGGGAATTTTTTGAAGACTTAAGGACTTTTAGAGTTATTTATGTGAGATGGAGAATATCCTTCTGTATATGTTTCTCTTATTGGTTGATAAATAAAACACTGTTCAGCCAATGAAGCAGGAAGATTGGTGGGAATAGGAGATAAGGAGGATTCTGGGAAACATAGGCAGTCAGTCGCCATATAGGATGCCAGAGGAGTAACAGGTCCAGTTACTCCTCTCCAGTAAGATAAGACCATGTGAAAATACTTAGATTAATAGAGATGGGTTAATAATTAAGACAGAGCTAGCCAATAAAAAGCCCTAGTCATTGGCCAACAGATTTATAATTAATACAGTGTCCATGTGTTCATTTGGGGCAAGGTGGCTGCAGAACCAGGCTGGCGGGAAAGAGTTATGTGTAACAGTCAACATTTATGTTTTATATTTTGATGTTACGATAAATCTTTTTGCCAAAAGCCGCCTGAGCCCCACCGCCACGTGTGAGCTTTATGCCAGCCGCCTGCCCGAGTTAGGCCCAAATGAATACACAGAGAGACTTGTATTAGTTACAAAGCTGCTTGGCCAATGACTAGGATTCTCATTTGTTAGCTCAGTCTCAATTACCATACATCTATATATTTTATGAGACTTATCTTATCGGATGCCTTATTGGGGTCCCTCCTTGCTGGTGAATCACATCTTGCCGCTGGAACAGGAGGCGAGGGGAAAAGAGAGCGACACTTCCTTTTTCCTCTTCTTAAATATGAGTCTCCTTGCTATGTCACTTCCTGCCTGGATCACCACTTCTCTACTACGTTTCCCAGAACCCTCTTTGACTCCTAGCCCAGCCTAACCTGCTGTCTCATTGGCCAAGCAAGTACTTTATTTATAAACATACACAGAAGTATTTCCCCCATCATTTTGATAATAATATTGACATGAAATTTGGGGGACAAGTTGAGATATTGTGCTTCAAGCTGACAATGAATCAATCGTGCTGGCTGGGTTTTGTCAGCTTGGCACAAAGCTAGACATATATGAGAAGACTGAATCTCTTTTGAGGAATTGCCTCCTCAAACTGGCCTATAGGCAAGTCTGTGGGATTTTCTTGATTAATGATCCAGCTTCCAGCTCCCTTCAAGTAGTGCTCCCTGGGAAGGTAGTACTAGATTATATAAGAAAGCAGACTCAGCAGGCTATGAGCAAGCAAGAAAGGAAGTAACATTCTTCCATGCCCCTGCTACAGTTCCTGCCTTGGCTTCTCTCAATGTACTGTGACCCAAGAAGTGTAAGTCAAATAAATTCTTTCTTTCCCAAGTTGTTTTTGATCATGGCATTTTATCACAGCAATAGGAATCAAACTAGGTGACAGACATTAATTCAGAACAAAAAGTTAAGGTTAAGAAGCAACACATACACAAGGTGGGATTCGAAGTAGATTTGCTTAATTTCCACTTTACAGTCATTATAATATTTAGATCTCAAAAGACATCCTTCAACAACACATTCTGGTTAGCCATCTTTTATGCTAAGGAGACTGCCAAAGTCCAATAGATTTTTATATCCCCTCTTTGGATGTAGTCATGTGAGTCAGCTGCCTTCCTGTTCTTCTTCCATTATAATGTCTTCATTGTAACTTCTTCATTTTTAGGAATTGATTTGGTGGGATTATAGTAGTTCACACCTTTGATCTCAGTACTTGGGAGTCAGAAGCAGGTGGATCTTTGAGTTCCAGGTCAGCCTCATCTGCAGAGTTCTAGGACAGTAGGGCCTTAGAGAATCCCTGTCTCAACAAAACCAAAACAAAACAAAGAATGGATTTGACTTTTCAAATAGCACAAGATATTCATTGACAGATAATATAAAAAATAAAGTTGAGCTGGAGATATGGCTTAGTAGATAAAATGCTTGCCATGTAAACATGAAGACTGGAGTTAAGGTCTTCAGCAATTACACAAAAACCAAGTAGGCAATCCCAGTGATTGGGAGATAAAGACAGGTGATCCCTGGGGAAGACTGGCTGGGGATCTTAACCAAATCTGAAAGTTCCATGATCATCAAGGCACCTTGCTCCAGTAAATAGAGTGAAAAGCAGTTGAGGAACACACCCATGTCAATCTCCAGCCTCCCATATACAAACCAACAAATGTGTGAGCATGCATATGTACATACATGCACTTGCAAAAAAACGTAATAAAATACAATTGGTTAACAAGTCATATAAAAATTTTGGTTAAGAATTTCTGTCTGTATGTATATGGTGTAAAGACAGAGAAAGAGTCAGGCAGATGGTTAGGGACATTCTGAGAGACTGGGTTTCATGGATGTTTCTGTGAAGGATTTAAATATGTTTCATACCAGCATGTCTGAAATTTTCCTAAGGTCACAGCTCTGAAGGACAATTCCCACTTGGATGCAGACATTGTGGCATGTTTGCTTTAAAAGATTGATGAGTTTATAACTACAACTCATAAAGCTGGTGGTCATAAAACACCTAGCTCTCTCCTGGAGGCAGACCACACTGACTATGTAAATACTGCTATCAACTTCCAACTTAACTGAAACTACACTGGGCTATGACATGGTGAGAGGCTCCACTCTACCCCATAGCCATGGTCATTTCTTGTCTCACATAACAAGATATGACTTGCCACAGAACTCAAAAGTTGAAAGAGAAGATTTAATTCCAGAAAAATAAAAATCATGAAATGATGAGGAATTAATGAAATATAGAAGTACTTTAAAATATGGAAGGGAACATAATATTTTAGTGACATTTTTGTTTGTTATAAATAGCCTTAAAATTAGATCAAAAGAAAAAAAGGAATAGACTAATCCATCTTGATTTTCCATCTGGAGTTTATGCAATGACCACACCCCTGGCTGCTCTTTTTCAGACAAAACTGTTTTTGTGACAACTAAATTGTCACAAACTGACTTTGCAATAGGCTGTTTAAATGTTTACTCATTTAAACCTCTTAACCTAAAGCCTCATTTTCCTATTATCACCACACTGGGTTTTTCCATCTCCATCATAATCCCTTAACATGTGAGTTAAAATTTTCCTGAACAAAATGGAAGTTTTTAGGTCACACATGGGGATAAAAATCGTGATTCTTAAAAATGACCTCAGAAATAAAACTAAGCTTTTACAAATTTAAAAAAGGGACTGTTTAAATTATCCTAAATTACTTAAGCCTATAAAAACTGGGGAAAAAAATGATTACACAAGACAAGTGATTATCAGCTGGTGTGTTTACATATGCACATGATACAGTCTTTGATCTTAGAAAGGGAACTAATTTAATACTTATTACTCTACAGTTTGTGTTAATTCCCTTTATAACATCTCAAGTAAAGAATTTCCCACCTTCTTAATACTCCTATCAATAGTGACTAGAAATTCATAACTGTACCAGTAGTCAAATTACTGTCATTGTAGAGTTGACTGTGAGAAGGTCGCCATTTGTTTTTAAATCTTTCTCTATTTGCATCCATTTGTTCTCATTCTGTCCTGCACAATGACACACATAAATCTCTTCCTCTTGCCACACATAGGCTTTAAAATATTAATAATAGCCCCTCCCCCCACTCTGTTTTGCCTCAGGGCTGTGCTGCCTATGATTTTTCTGTCTTTGTAAATTTATTTTCTCAATATCATCATGCCTAGAACTGGGGCCATCATAATTGTAGCACTTGCCAAGTTCCTCCTCTGCCCTGGAAGCCTCCTTTCATCTAGCCCCTTACCTTTCAGCTTGGCTGTAGAAGGCACATCTTGAGTGTCTTGGTGGAAACTTATACCACTCACTTCCCGGGGCCTGCTCTCATAAAACTCATGGAGTGTTTCCCATACCTATCTCCACAGCACTTTGGTTGTCAAATTCAGATAAAGACACACACACAAAGAAAATTACAGGCCAATCTCCCTAATAAACACAGATGAAAAATTGTCAAGAAAATACTGACAAACTGAATTCAAGATCACATCAGAAAGATCATGACCATGTTGGCTTCTTGCCAGAGGTGCAAGAATGGTTCAACATACATAAATTCATTCATGTTGTCCATCATATACATAGACTCAAAGACAAAAGTCACATGACCATCTCAATAGACACATGAAAAATCTTTGACAAAATTTAACATCCCTTTATGATAAAAGTCATGGAAGGACTAGAGATGGAGGGGCATACCTCAACATAACAAAGGTTATATATATACAACACAGGTATAACCAATGTCACACTAAATGGAGATATACTCAAAACATCCCTGCTAAGAGCAAGACAAGCACGTCCACTTTCTTTACTTCTATTCAAAATAGTGTCTCATGCAGTAAAGAAAGAGAAGAAAATAAAAGTGATACAATTAGTAAAGAAAAAGTCAAACTATCACCATTTGAAGATGACATGATTCTATACACATGACCCTCAAGATTCCTTTAGAAACCTCTAAGAACTGATAAACAGGTTCAACAAAGTAATAGGATACAAAACTGATTGACTTTAGAACTATTTTCTCTTGTGCAATCAATACATTTAATGTGCAACACTCTTTGAGTTGTGAAAGTGCCGGGGTTGGAGTCTAGCCACTAGGATAGTGAGAATTCTTATTTCACCACTTTTTATCCCCTCTACAACATCAGGGAGGGAAAAATGGGGAGGAGGGAGCAAGGACAATACAAAGAGAGAGGGCATAGGGATAAATAATACTAAGAATGCTTGAAAAAGTCTGAGGGAGCCATATTCTTGTATATTTACCTAAAATACATATAATACACTTAAGTATATGTGTGTATATATAGGAACACAACTTAAAGTTATATCACTTTGAGTGATAATACTCCTCACAAAAGCTATAGACTACCTAACAAAACCCCCAGTACCAAACATGAGAAACCTCCTTTCAAGTTGTTGGTCAAGGTGGTACAAGACATTCCCCAAATAATCTAGGTATTGATGTTGTCCTTGGTTGCCTCTGAAAGTTGAAGGTAAGTTTCTGTTGCTGAGGTCACCATACACTCTGGACACAGAACTGAGAGGAAGAAAACTGGAACTGACCTGAAAGCTTCTTCCCTGAAGACTGGCTGTCAAGTAGTAGAAGATGCTATGCAAGGTGCCAAAGGAATAAAAAAAAAAAGCAATGAATAGTCTTACCCAACTGTGACCCTGCAAGCTACAACATTGACTATCCTAGCAAGAGTTCACTAAATGATCAATGGCAGTGCTTGTATCTTGGCAGTGACCAACAGCTATGAGGGCCCCGAACAAGGCAGGAATCAAGCCTGGTACTATAACCCTGATTAGCTTTATTTTTCAATATGTCTGTATATTAGAGTTGTTGAAATTTTTTTCTGGAATCAAAGTCTTTACGTTAAATCTCCACGACTTTAGAATAGCACTACATCTCCATACTTCAGTTTCTTCAGTGGTAGACTGAGGAGTATAGTGACCATAACCTAAGGTTGCTATTAGGATTGTGAGTGATGCATATACAATGTCTACGTCAGCATCTGGCACCATGTAGAGACGATGCTTTTGCTATGATGAAAATGGTAATAACAAACAATGATGACAAGAATATGAAAAAAACACTAGAAGGCTATATGACAACATATCATTGTGGGGTTTTGTTTCCTTCACCTTGCTTATCTACAAATAAACCACTAATAGAATGAGAATGGAATATTATTTAAATAATATTGTTAATTTTTTAAGCAAGAAATTGATCTTGTTGGGCATATTCCAGTCTGCCTCTGTCCAACCCTTGATTTATGTGCTTGGGAAATCACCTTTCATCTTCCTGTGTTTTGTTTCTCTCGTTTGTAAAATGAGAAGGGAAAGGCTTAAGTGCCACCACATAATTCTAGAGCCCTCGACAGGCTACAAAGCATGGATATGCAGCAACTCATTGAGAAACACTTATTTCCCATGTTCTCCATTGACCCAAATTTCTGAGGCAGATGACCAGCATAACGCAAGCTATAAATGCTGACACTGGCCTCTTTTTATTTTATTTTAGAAACAATCTTATTTTACATAGCAACCCCCCATTCCCTCACCCTCCCACCCTCCCATGCTCCCACTGACCCCCACCCACTCCCCAAGGATAATGAGGCCTTCCACAGGGGATCATCAAAATCTGTCATATCATTTGGGAGAGCTTGCTGTATCTAGGCTGCAATAATATCCCTCCATAGGGAATGGGCTCCCAAAGTCCATTTGTGCACTAGGGATAAAGACTGGCTCCACTGTTAGAGGTCCTATAGACTGCCCAGGCCTCCTAGCTGGCACCCACATTCTGAGGGTTTGGTTTTGTCCAATGCTGGTTCCTCAGCTTTACAGGTCCCTGGGGTCCCTGTGCTCTCATTAGGTCAGGTCAACTGTTTCTGTGGGTTTCCCCAGCACCGTCTTGGCTCTTTGCTCATCCCCCCCTCCCTCTCTACAACTGGATTCCAGGAGTATGGCTCAGTGCTTACCTCTCAAGTCATCTAAGCACATGAGGGCAGCTTTTGCCTGTGTCAGAGTCTGACTGCTTTCTGTAAAATGGCTTAGCACTGAGAAAGCAGGACTCCCATGTGACCCTGAGAAACTGAGAAACAGGAAAAGGATAAAACAAGGGCATTCATGTTTGTGGAACATCTATAATAGAGATGATTATAATATAAGCCTCATTGAAGCCTCACAACAACTTATGTGGAAGGTTTTATTGCCTATATTTCAAAGATGAATTCCTCAGGGAGGCTCAACATTAATGCCTGAAACCATAAGCTACTAACTACCTTCAGATCAGCATCTGAGAAAGACTAACTAATTTTTAAGTGCCACGATGCCTCGGTGAGATCTGAGATCTACAAGAACTGGAATGTTAGTCATTGTTTTAACATAGCTACTCAGCTTCAAGTCTGCAGAACTCTGCGTGAGTAGTGTTACCACGGCCAGGTGTGGTAAGGGAACTTATTTCATTACGAACAAGTAGCGCATGGAGGGCGATGTCCTTCAGTCAGGACTGGCTCACTCTAGCAAGCATCTTCAAAACTTCAATCCAAAAGCTTTATATTTCAAAGTCACCCTGCTGGGACCATGCTTTGCAAGTCTACATGGAAAGTGAAAGCTGATGAGCAATGACAGGTCTTCCATACTTACAGAACAACAGAGACAAGTGCATCTGAAAAGTGGTCACTGTTTCATAGAGGGCATTAGGGAAGTGAACAATGTGACTATTTGCTGTTGGGTTTTGTTTTTTTTTCTCCTCCCCCACCCCTTTTCTACCAATACATTTGTGTGCTCCCCTGATTTAATGAATCACAGACCAAAGGCATTTGAGAATAAAGTCAGCCTGTACATTGCCACAATACTTCAGTAAGTAGACTAAAAAGGAGGGAGCAAAAAAGCTACAGTCTTGAAATCCAGGAGTCTTTACTGTGTTTGGACAACCCCATTAAATTAGAATACTTGACCTTGAGTAAGCAATGCTATAGTTAAATGTTAAAGTTATGGGTCCATTGTGTTCACTGTCATCATAATAGGCACTTTCTATCTGCCAGGTAAAACACGTGGTGAAATATTCCTGAAGGTCTCACAGTGACCTTACGAGGTGGACACAGTTATTACACCCATATCCAATGAGTGAGTTGTAGCACAGGAATGTTGGGTAACTTTCCCAATGTCACAGAGGGGGGAAAAGTGGTGGAATAAGAATTCTCACTGTCTCAGTGGCTAGATTCCAACCCTGGCACTTTCTCAAAGTAAATTTCTGATTGCCTCTGGCAGACAGCCATAGACACAGTATGTGCCAGTAAATAACAATCATTTAAACACATAATTTTCATGGATTCTCTTGACCCATTTAAGCGGTCCTATATTAATCAGCTGTTATGATGAAAATAGACAAAAGGACTGGTGAGCACAGGAGTGATTTCAAGGACAGTCTCATGCTGTTGGATCACAGACCACACAGGTAGAGCTGCACTGACCTAACAAGATGCATGTGTTTAGGGGATGCGGTTTCATTGTTAGGGTACAAGTGTCTGAATGTGAGTTATGTAGCTGTTAAAAAGGAAAGGTGGGATAACTATTAGCCTAAGCCACGACTCTTACTGATTTATTTCAGGGGCTCTGGTTGACAAATCTGCCCTCCTCTTGATGCCATGGAGTTCTTTCTTCTTTCTGAGCATTCCTCTTCTGCAAGCCAAGGACCGATAAGGAATAAGAACAGAAAGGCAGGAGCCTTACCGTCTCAAGTGGCTTATTGGCATCTCTGAGATTTTCACACAGGGTGGCACCTGTTGAGCTGCTGGCTTATGCCCTTCATAGCAATAAAAGTTTTTTTTTTTTTTTTCTATCTCTCCTCCCTATTGAGTGGGGTGAGGCAGGGAACATGCCAGAAATATTTTAAAAGAAATAGGTCCCTCTCTGTGTCTGTCTGTCTGTCCGTAAGGATACCCATTACTGGAGCTGGTTAGATGTGAATACATAAATTGGACTGGAAGACAAAGTGAGGAGAAAGATAAGGGAGCTGAGGAGTTCATCTGGGCAGCTAAGCCTGCTGTTACAAACGTCTGCCAAGGAGACACATCCCTGAAAGTCAAGTCAGGATCCAAACATTGCTCTTCCATCATCTTGGGCAAAGCTCCTTGGGGATTAGGGCTCTAGTGGTCTATTACAGGGTTAGAGCCTCAGGATGACCAGCAGGGATGGATGAGATCGCACTCCTGTCAGGGCACTCTGGGGCTATGGTTAAGCAGGCAGTGTGTTCTCTGAGGTTTGTTCTTGCCTCTTACTAACTGGGAGCTGCCCTTGATCTTTGGACCTCTTCCCAGGCCCAGGAGAGGTAAAAATCTGATATTGCCTTGGGTGTGACCCCAGCCAGCCTTGTTAATAAACATTCCTTCCTGTTTCTCTCCAGTGACAAAGGAGGAGGGAAGCACGGTCTGAGGACAACAGAAGAGGTCATGCCAGGAACAGACTTCAGCATGGGAAGCAGCCCTAGCTAGAGCTGAGTCAGTCCCTGGTTTTTTCCTATTTGTGCAGTTCACTCACTGAGACAAATCAGCCCCAGGTGGGTTGAACTCTAATTTGCCTCTACCTGGAACTCGTAAATGGGTCAGCACTCTACCATGTCACTTCTTTTCACATGGCACTAAGAAGTTAGTCTTCATTTTCAAGGTGAAGTTCCCCACCCTCCCCTTTTATTTCCCACATCAAAGGAACACTGTACTGGTACACTTGAATTTGAATCTACTTAAATGCCATTTTAATGGACTGTTCAAACTCTGTAAATACTTCCTTCCCTATGTTTTAGACTAAAGTAGACTGAAGTATAAATGAACAGAATGTCACTGTATGCAACACCAGCAAAGCTTCAGCTCTACAGGTGCCTAGCATGCATGAGGTTCAACTGCCAACATACAAACATTGAATTTATATATTTTATATATAAAGTGTATTAATTTGATATATGTGCATATATATATATATATATATATATATATATATATATAT